GATTGTCTGCCCAGGGAGGTGGTGGAGTCTCCATCCCTGGATGCACATAAGAAAAGACTGGATGTGGCACTCAGTGCCATGGCTTAGTTGAGGTGTTAGGGCATGGATTGGACTGGATGATTTGAAGGTCTCTTCTAACCCAGTGACTCTGTGATTCTCTGAGGAGCCTCTGTGTGAGGCCAGGGGGCTGTGGTGGTGCTGTGACCCCCAGCAGTGTCTGACTGCCCTGGCCTGTCTTGCAGCCCAGCACTTCATCGCAGCCACGGCGTGCCAGGAGGCCGACTACGGCTGGATGATCCGGCACTACTGCCTCAAGCAGTTCCAGCTCAGCATGGAGGGCATTGGCCAGCGCCTCTGGTGTGACTGGGACGAGACTGTGGGGTAAGTGAGCTCCCCCTGCTCCCCCTCCCTGCTCCTCCTCCCTCCCCTCCTGCTCCCGTCTGGGATTTTGGGGTGCCAGGGTGTCAGCGCTGGGGTTTATTTCACCCTGGTTTCACTCTGCTTGGCTCTGTCCCTGCTGAGTCCCTGAAAGGTTTCTCCAGCCTGGTCACACGTGGAGGGCTTGGAGGGGAGAGCAGTGGATGTTGTCTGCCCAGACTTTGGGGAGATTTTCTGGCACAGTCTCCTGTGTGTGCTGGATGAGGTGGGTTGGAAACTGCCAGAACAGCCAGGCCTGGGGAGTGCTGATCATTGGCCAGACACTGATTGCAGCACCTAGGGGTGTATCACAGGGGTCAACACTGTCCTGCTTCATTAGTCATGTGGCTGTAATATCTCCTCATTAGTCATGTGGCTGTAATATCTCCTCATTAGTCATGTGGTCATGGGACTGAGTGTAAACCCAGCACCAAAGCTGGGGAGTGGGTGACACACCAGAGGGTTGTGCTGCTGTCCACAGGGACCCTCAGCAAGCTGAGAACCTCCCAAAGTTCAGCAAGGGGAAGGGCAAAGTCCTGCACCCGAGGAGGAACAGCCCCAGGCACCAGGACATGCTGGGGCTGCCCAGAGAGAAACCAGAAAAGGACCTGGGGGTTCTGGTGGGCACCAAGTTGAACATGAGCCATGAAAGTGTCCTGGTGGGAAAGCATGGGCAGAAACTGAGGCAGGGGAGGTCCCCTCTGGACACCAGGACATGTGTGTGCACTGTGAGGGTGGCCAAACACTGGCACAGCTCTCCCAGGGAGGATGTGGAATCTCCATCCTTGGAGATACAAAAAAAGAAAACCAGCTGAACATGGTCGTGAGCTGTGGGTGGCCCTGCTTGAGCAGGGGCATTTGGACAAGGTGGAGTGAACCTCCAGAGGTCATCTCCAGCCTCGGGCATTCTGGAATTAAAGGGATTTTCAAGGAGCTGAGCCTAAGCAGGGTTTGGAAGTCAGGGTGGTGGTCATGCTCCACCCCCAGCAGTGGAGCTCCAGCAGGAGAAGACCATGGCTCTGCTGTGTGCTGGAAAAGGATGAAGAGGCAGATTGGGATCCCCATCATGGATCACTGGTACCTCACAGCTTGCTGGATATATTTTCTATGGGCCTTTTCTTTTTTTCCTCAGCACTCTGGTTCTCCAGACAGTTCCAAACACCCAAACTCAGCATGAAAACCCCATAACCCACCTCAAACGCTGGCTGTGAGAAAATCCCAAACTGTCCTACCAGAGCTGTTGGCTCAGCCCCTGCTTCCAGAAGTTGTGTGTTGATTTTTCCAAGCAACTAGAGGGAGAGGCTGGAATGGTATGGCCATGGTAGCTGCCTGCTAAGCCTGCTGTTTGTAATCAGTGTCAGGGAGTGAGCCGTGATTTATGACTTGGGAGGAGCAGAGATGCAGCCTTGCTGCCCTGCTGGAATGCTTGGGAGCATCTCTGGGATGAGGAGGGTGCACAGGGAACCCTGCTCAGGGAGACCAGGGGTGTCACAGGTGGGGAATGTGCTGCTCTGCAGGGGGGTTGTCAGATTTTTTGGGGGAATTTCATTGGGTTTGGTTTTATTTTTATGACAAACTTCCTTTGGATTAGCTCTTTCCTCTTTATCATCAGCAGAGCTGAATCTTTTGGTATCACCACGGTGTAAATCTGCTGAGATGGTTTTGATTGAAGTTGAAAGACTGGGCAGGGGTGGCTGTGTGTTGGTGTGAGGGCTTGAGAGAATAACCCCCCTTTTTCCCCCTTCAGCTGACTTTCCATGGGAAAATGAAGCAGCAGAATAAAAATGAGCTCATGTGACACCAGAGTGGATGAGGGTCAGCTGGAAACAGGGAGCAGATGATGCTGTGTGCCCTGAGTGTTTTGCACAAAAATTAAGAGGTTTTGTGAGATTTTTGTGATTTCCTGCTTCACGGCCCTTCCTTCTGTGTGAAATTAAAACCTGCACACGTGTGTATCCATCTTTTGGTCAAAGGTTGGACTCCAAGATCTTGGAGGTCTTGTCCAACCTTAATGATTCTATGATTCTGTTCTGTGATTCTAAACATACTTGTGGTTTTTCCTTCAACTTGATCCGTGACAGAATGGAGGGGAAGAAAAGAGAGCTGAAAGACTGAGGTTCAGATTTCTGGTTTTGAGAAGCCTCATCTGGTGCTCAGAAATGCCCAGGGCTGCTGATGTTGTTCCAGCCCTCACCATCTTGTTCTTTATTTCACATGTCCTTTTTGTCTCCTAAACAGCTTCAGCTGAACTCGTTACCCTTGAGGCACTTGGAGGAAATGTTGATAAGCTTGCAGGGTTTAATTTGATTGCCCGAGTCCATTTGCTCCGTGCAAACACATGGCTCAGGGTTATTTGAGAGATGACATTCCTTTGATCCTCTTGTGCCCTCAGGACACTGGGAAAACTGGGTAGAAATAGTTCAGTTACTGCAGTAAATCAGCTGCAAGGATGTGGGGTTTGGGTGGGCCCAGCACCTTGTTCCCTGGATGTGTGGAAATCACCATCCCCTTTTTGAGGAAAGGGAAGATGTCCCAGCAGGAGTGGCCAAGGGGTGGCATAGCTGGCTGCTCACCCCTCTGGCTCTAGGGGAGGGATTTTGTCTTCCACCTGGTGTAAGACAAAGAAATGGAAATAAAGCACCTGCCTAGAGCCTGTTCTCTCCAGATCTTCCCCCAAACCAAGCAAGCATTTTGATGCTTGAAACCTGTCTGAAACAGGGAGAAATGTTGGGAGGTTTTGCCTCTGTACCACCAGCAGTGTGGTGTTTGGAGCTCTCATTTCCTGGATGCAGCATTCAGCAGGGAAATACCCCTAAGCTCCATCATTTCCTGCTCAATTGAGGATGGCACGATGGGAACATGTAGATTAATGAATTTTCTCAGCAGAGTCTGTAATCGTGGCTCACTGCTCCCATCTGACCCTGAGAAGCATCAGCTGAGCTCTTGCCCTGCTGAGTCTGATGTACCCAAGGGCTCTGTCTGGAGGCTGTTGGGTGAGGTTGGGTTGGGCCATGTGGACAAGCACCAGCTCTCTGGGAAGGTTTGTCCAGCCCAAAAACACAAGTTTTTCTCATGGACTGAGAGAACCCGTGTGAGCAGTTGCCCACACTTTTGGCTGCCCAAAAGCCAGACTGGAGCTGCATTTTGGGATCTCTGGTGTGGAGGGCTCCTCCACCCCGTGCTGGTGGCCGAGTTGCTTTGGCCAGGGGCTCAGCTGTGCCTGATGCATTATCCCAAAGATCAGCTTGGCTATTTCCAGCTCCATTTCATCGGGTGGTGGCTGAGCCAGGGGGATTAGCTGTGGTGTCCCTCGGGGCAGCTATTTCAGGGAGAGATGTGGAGGGCTCGGCTGCCACTGCCCACCCACGAATGCGTCAGCGGGAGCTGATGACTTGGGGATATTTTTCCTGCTGGGTTTTGGCTGGAGGGCTGTGGCCAGGGAATGGATTTGCAGGAGGGTTTGTGCACGGGGGGATGCTGCCACAGCTGTGGGTGTCACTCCAGCCCAGCCAGGCATCTTCATCCCAAATATATCCCCCCTGTGGCATTCCTGAAAATCCCCATGGAATGCTTTCCCCCGGGTGTCCTGCGGGAAGGAGCTCGCCAGGGGGATGGAGCTGCTCTGACAGCTGCAGCCAGGGATGGAGCTGCTCTCCACTCTGTCTTCAGGTTATTTATCCATTATTTACAGAAAACAGATTGATCCATTCCCTTATTCTCTCATTATCTACTTTTTTATCTTCAGCTTGCCAAGTCCCTTCTGGATACTCCTTTAGCCTGGCTTCAGGCTCACCTTGCACCCTTGCAGAGGAGGAAATCAATGTTTTCTTTTAATTTGCAAAGCAAAAGCAAGTCTTTGTGGTGTTTTCTTTTTCCCCTTCTGAAGCAAGGAATCTGGGGAGGGTAGGAAATACTGGGATACTGTCAATCCTGTGAACCTCAGTCCTAGTGCAGCACCATCCACATCCAAGTGCTGTCAGGAATAAATGCCAGAGCCAATTCCAGTCTTGGCTGCAGTGGCAAAAAACCCCAGAGGAATTTGTTAGGATTTACAGCAGTATAAGCATTCAGATGCCATCAAACCCTCAATCATTCTTTGACTGCTTCCCACCAGTGGCCCAGCCCCATCCCCATCCTGCCTGCAGTCCATCCACAGCATCCTTTCAACCCAAACCATTTCCATGGTGACAGGGAAAACACTTCTAACTGCACTTCACATCGGGTAGACAAAAAATATCCCGAAGCAAAGCCGAGCTTTCCAGGGCCAGGTGTCTCCTGGCAGTGGTGGGGTTGAGTGGGAAGATCTGCCCTCTTCCCAGTGCTGTCCTAAAGCTGCTGTTAATATTTTTGGGGAGGGGATGGTTTTTGGGAGATAGAGGCTTGCAAATGAGCTGTGGGCTTGTCTGAAAGCCAAAAGCTTGACTCCAGGTTTGCTACAGGCAGGATGGAAGTGTGGAACAAAGTTTATGAAGAGAGGCCGTCCTGTTGAGTCAGGAGAGGCAGAAAGGACCTCCTAGAGTCCTCCATTTCCTGGGATGGGGTCTGGGTGTGGCTGGATCCAGATATTTACTACATAGCATAGCTAAGTATATATATATATAGTTATATATATTACCCTATTTATTGGAACTATCTTGAAGCAAAGCTGTTAAAATGAGCAAAGTAATTACAGAGTAGAGATTGATGTTAATCCCCATGTGGGCAAATGGTGACTCCCCCCTTTGCCATCCATCCATGAGAACTTTCACAAATAGGGTAAAGTCCAAGCTGGTTTACTCCCACTTAGAGTGCAAACTCTTTGGAGAGAGGGCAGGAGCAGGATGCTCTGCCTGAGTGTCATCCTTGCATCCTCCAGGGCTTGGCTCAGCTTTGCCCTGCTGAGCGTGCTGAGTTGTGTGGGGGCAACATCCCTTTTGGGGCTGGGCTGTGGGGTGGCAAGAATAGGGCAGAGCTGAGCAGGAAAAGACCCCCCCATCCCTGAGGTGTTTCACCACCAGCCCAAGCTGAATTCCCAGTGGGACCAGGCTGGCATGGTGCTATCACAGTAATCACTCTCATAATCTAAGTTCAATCCTCACACAAGGCACCAATATATTATTTTTTTTTCCAGTCAGAGTTGGGATTAAAAGTATGAGAATTTCATGTTCGGATTTGGTTGTTTATTAATTCTTATTTATGTTACAGTGAGTGCTACAGCACCTCTAGCTAACAAGCTAAAAATGAAGAAATGGTGGTATATAAAAATGAAGAAATAGTGATGTATAAAAATGAAGAAATGGTGATGTATAAAAATGGAGAAATGGTGATGTGTAAAAATGGAGAAATGGTGATGTGTAAAAATGGAGAAATGGTGATGTATCTCGCTCGTTACAAGGTCTTTAAAGGCCTAATCGTCCAATTAAAAACTAACACTTACATTCTTTTTACTTTTGACCCAATGACCAAACACCCATGATCTGCAGTGCAGCATTTTCTATCTTTAACAAGAACTACTTACAGCCAAGAAGAAGAGGGACAAGAAGAAAGGAAGAAACCTCTGCCCTAAAACCTCCATCTTTGTCTCATACCTATTACTATATTCTAAAACCCCAAATTCCAAATCTTTCACTATGTGAAATTACACACTTCTATTCAAACTACACACCAGTGATTCTAGTTCTGTCATTCCGTTTTGGAAGCCTTCTCCAAGGCCTTGGGTCAAGAGCTGTGTTTTTTTGGGGGTCAGTGCCTGACAGCACAGAAAGTTCAGAATTCACTGGCCTCTGGGACCAGAGTGCCCGTGGTGCCACTCTGCTCCTGCTGAGAATGCCACCTGGAGCAGGGGGGATTTAATGGGAACAGCAGAAATAAAAGGGACAAGAGACTTCAGGGTGTGTTAAGCCACGCCATCACTCCAGCCATAGCCCCAGGGCCACCTCCTTGTCCCCTCACACTGCTCGTGGGGCTGTGGCTGCCCAGCTCCTCTCCTTGGTCCATCCTCACGTCTGGAGGTGGCTGAGTGCTGGAATACTGAGTGCTGGAATAGGGCTGCTGCCTCCTGGAAAGGCCAGTGACAGTTTATTTATCCTTTCCTTTGCTGGCTTTGGTTCCTTGCATGTCTTCACACACAGTGATGGGAGCAGTGATTTATCCCCATGGAAGCACAGCTGGAGCCAGGGAAGGGCTAAGCCAGCTGCTCTATGGCCCTTCAGCTTTAAAAATAGCTTTTATTTGCCTGTTAACACTTTCCCTCTGATGCCTGAAGATGCTGCTGCAGCTCCCGAGATCTCTTAAGGATGCTGATGAATGGGAAACGGTAATTTTGCACACTGGGATGCTGAGCAGAAGCTGCTTTTAGCAGCTGCAGGCTCCATTAATTAAATCTCTGGCTGTGTGGGCACAGCGTGCCCCAAAACCCCAAACCCCAGCCGAGGAGCTGCACAGGGGCTATGCAGAGTGGCTGGGAAGCTGCTTCTGAAATATTTCTTCCCCCAGGCAGGTTTTTAATTGGAGAGCTGGGGTTTGCTTTGCTTTGCTTCTCTAGGATTAGACGTGACTAATTGGGATGGGGGAGAAAAAAAATTGTATCTGCATTTTTATATACAGTTCTAAAGGCAGGGAAGGTTTTCCTGTCATTCCAGAGGATGGCATAGGGGCAGTGTCTCTGGCTCAGGGCTGCTCCTGGTTTTCCAGGTATTTTTTTAAACAATGGGAAAATGGACTTGCTGGTCACAGAGGGGTGAGATGGGCTGTGGGCCTGCCCAGCTGGTTTCTATGCAACCTCCCCGGTTTTAGGGCAAATTAAAGGAGATTTTTAAGTAGATGCAGTGTACTTATTTCTGTCTCCCTCTGGACTGAACTCACACAAGCTGGAGGATGGTGCTCCAAAGGTTGGGATAGGTTTCCTGAATGTCTGCTTAAAATGTGGGTTCTGCCAGGAAATTCTGCAAAAAATTAACACAAACCAAACAAAAAACCTCCAAACTTGATTATTCCTGTTAAATACTATTTCTGTTTTCATTTCCTTCTGTAAAGTAAACCTACCACCAGCACGTCATTCCATAAATGAAAACTGCTTTTGGCTGTGGGTGAGCACTTAAAAGTTGCAAAAGCCGGTGGAATTTTAAACACCCTGTTATCGTTTTACCTCTCTAGCTATGAACTCAAAACCCCATATATCTTTATAGGTCATGTAAATTTTCAAAAACCCGCTATATATTTTTACAGGGCCAGGTACATCTAGCTGTAAACTCAAAAAATAGCTGAAAATTTTACTATAGCTCAAATAACAGCTGTAGTACAGTCTCAAGTGCACACCTCTGTAACAGAATACAATATATTGTACGGGGAGGGCTGTATTATATTGCCTTCGTGTTTCTGTTACAAATGATGCAATATATATTTTGTATACAGAATGGATAGTGGTTTATGTTGCAGGGGGAGGGGCGGAGGTGGCGTGGCCGTGTCCGGGCGATGCCACCGCGGTGCCACCCGGTGTCCCTGTGTTTTGCAGCACTTACGGGGAGCTGACCAACTGCACGGCGCTCATCGCCGAGAGGCTCGACTGCTACTGGCCCAACCGGCTGGTGGACGAGTTCTTCGTGGCCGTGCACAAGCAATACTTCAGGAACTGCTCGCCGTCGGGCCGGGCTCTGCACGACCCCCCGAACGGCGTCCTGTGTCCCTTCATCGTGCTGCCCGTGCTGGTCACCCTGCTGATGACAGCGCTCGTGGTGTGGAGGAGCAAACGCAGCGAGGGCATCGTGTAGGGACGGGCGGCTCCCCGAGGGCACCGAGCCCCGGGGGCAGGGACGGCATCGCTGCTTTCAAAGGAACCGGGGAAGCGATGGGTGCTGGGCAGGACGGGCTGCCCGCGCTCCGCCCGCCCCGGCTAAGTGTGCCCAGCAGGGAAATCGGAACGGAAAACAAACCCCACGAGGGTGTGGGGAGTTGAAATCCTGCTGTGATCAACACACGTGAGACCAGCGGGTCTGGAACATCCTCGGCTTCGTCTCTCTGTCGTTTTTTTTTTTTGGGTTTCCCCCCACACGTGGAAAGGCATCTGCTCCCCCAGCCCCCAGCACAAGGACGAGGCTTGCACGGGCTGGGTTGTGCCTGGGAGGGGGGAACAGCGGGGGGAGCGGGCGGGGTTAACAGGGAATGGGAATCAGGTGCTTTTCCTACCTAAATAAATAAATACGTGAATGAAGCGGGTGCCTGTCTCTGTGAAGGTCCAGCCTCCCCCTCAGTGTCCTCATTCTGTGATGCCAGAGATCCCCAATAGTGCTGACCCCACCCCATGAGCCCTGGGAGGGGCAGTGGAGTCCCTGGGCAGACCTGGGATGGGACTGGGGGACTCCCAACCCTACCCTGACAGCTCTGGTCCATTCCAGACCTTCAGTGCCTTGTTGGCTCAGGAAGGAGTTCCCTGTGGACACCCAGCTGCTGTTCACTCCTGACTGTCTCATTTCCCAAAAAAACCCCAAAACCTAGAGGGACACCCAGCCCTCTGTTTGACCCACCCACCTCTAACCCAAACCCATGATTCTGGCAGAAGCATAGGTTAGTTGCATCTATACAAATACACATAAAAATACATATATACATTTATGTAAATACATCCATCCTCCACCCATCTCCTCACATTCAGCGAAAATTCCGTTTATTTTCCTGGACTGTGAGGTGATGAGATCTAGGATCCACCCCCTGTCCTGGATGAGGACAAACCAATGCTCAGACCTTCTTGTACAGTATTTAACAGTATCCAAACTTTATTATTCTGCTCATCTCCTCCAGGCAAGCAACAATACAGGGAAGGGGTTAGACAGGGTTGTTCTGGGACGCAGGGATGGCTTTGATGGGGACTGGACCCCTCCTCCTGAAGGGTGGAACCTGCTAATAGTAGCAGGGTGCCTCTACAGCAAGAACTGCTTTGTTACAGCAACCTGGTTGAGTTTTCCACTCCAGAGTAAGATAATCCCTTCTAATGCCATAAACAAAATCGGGATTTATTTCCCAACCTTGTTACTTCTGTGAGTGTTTCACTCCTTACCTCGCTGACACAGCTGTTTTGGCAGCAAAGATCTCTCACTGCACTCGCCTGCTTACAATACTGGGCTGATCTGTGTTACCTTGTGAGTATTACCTGCAGGTGAAGCTCTCCTCCTGCATGCCAATCCCTGCATTTCACCTCCCTGCTTTCCCAGGCCTCCAGCAACAGCTACAGGAGCTTGTGAAGCTGGAAAAGAAAAGGCACAGGGAAAAGTTTCATGTTTAGTCTGCACCCCAGCTCTGCTGTGCTCGTGATGGATTGTTTGCATTTCCTCCAGCAGGAAAGAACGAAGGGGGAATAAAACCCCAACAGTCAATGCCCAAGTGTCATACACACACTTGCTCTGCATGAAACCACACAAACATTTATTTCTCTGGTTTATAAAGGCCTGGCTGGGCTCCATCAGCTCCTGTGTGTGATCCCAATACTGGAGGATACCCAGGGAGCTCTGGCACAGGGACTGAAGCTGCTCTCTCCTCTGCAGGCTCTCAGTGCCATCCTGCTCCTTACAGAAAAGGCAATTGCAGCATTACACCCTTCCAAATCAAGAAAGCCAAGTGTGCACAAGTGGGGGGAAATGTGTTGTGGTTCCAGCTGTGTCATTCCCTTTCGGTGCAGCAATCTGGAGAACACAATTAGGTGCTCTCAGGTAATGGTGCCTAAATTTACCTCCATCAGATCAAACAGCATCTGATGCTCTAACCACATCCAGATTGGAAAGCCAAAGGCAGATTTCTTTTAAAAAAATCTTCCTTTCATTATTTTCTTCACAGAAATATATAATATATATAATATATATATATATTATTTTACTAATACTAAACATGTACTTAAGTTACGTATTAGCCTGTATTTCTTTTAGCTACTTCACACAATGAGTAGAAACAACAAAAAACAAAAGACAACTGTAGCCCAAACAGGGCCTGAAATTAACCATGTAAAAAATCCAAACTGACAAAAACATACTTACATTAAATAGCATTGAGAATTTCAATACCAGAAGTAGAATCTCATTCTGCACTTCTACTCTGGCAAGCTCTAAGCCTCAGCTGAGTGACTCTTAGAAAAAGCTCATATTGTTTCTGCTCATCAAAAGCAACAGTTTTGTGAATTGGTTCACAGGAGACCATTTATTGCCAACTCGAAGTGTTCCAAAAACATGCCACCTTTTCTGCTTGGGTTGTTTGGGTTTGTTTTCCTTCCCCCCTCCAGATTAGGCAAGAGTTTTTTTAAAAAAAAAAGTGTAATTACAATTTCAATAGTGATTTCTTTTAACTTCTCAAGCATATCTCATCAACAGGATATACAGTACAGTTCAGAAGAGTAAACATTTGTAAAAGGAAGCAGACAACTTTTTCAACCAACAGACACAATTTCTTGCTGTATTTATGCTGAACTCTCCTTTGAATATGAACAGGTTATGAAGTTAGTTTTCTTCTTCAGTACAACATGGACACAGGGCTGGTACAATCTGGGCTGGTTTGGCTGCTCTTGAAGTTCAGGACAAGCGTGGAGTGGAGCCGTGGTCCTGCCATCCATCCTCCCCGTTCATCATCTCGCGTAGCGCTTAATGTAATCTTCAACTTTACTGCGGAAATCCTCCTGGGGGGGGAAGCACAGGCACGGTTACCTGGGCACAGCAGGGCTGGAACGTGCTGGAATTCACATGGAAATGTGAATGTGTGCTGCTGCAGCCCCGTGCTGCCACTGGCAGGGACAAGCTCCCAGCAAGGGAAAGCTCTGCTCGAGAGCCTTGAATCCTTACAAAGAGGAGTCTGTGCTCCACAGGGGTCTCCACAGGGGTATAAAGTGGGAAAAGTCTCTGCCAACTCAGGTACACACACACTGCCTGCTATTCCATCACCTCTGCATGCAGGGAAAACCACCCAGTTCTGGTAGTTTGTGCTTATAAAGCACACAGAAATGCTGAGCAAGATAAACTGTGTGATCCCTGTGCAAGCCGGGGTGCCAGGCACACACCACATTCCTGGCGTGTTACTTATTCCAAGCCTGAACCTTACAGCTTGGAGTTAAATGTGTTCCACCCAAACACAGCACGGGGCTGTGCTCCAGGGTGCATTCTGCTGCATTCCCAGCTCTCCTCTTTGTGTGCTGCTGGAATATAAAGGAGGAAAAACTGAGAAATGTATGTACTCACATCTGTTAAAAAAGAAAACAACTAAAAAAACACAATGCATGCAGTAGATGAGGAGGTTTTGAACACTGTCCTGGTACACTGGAGCTGCCTGGAGAGCAGAGGCTGTGGAAGCACTGAAATCCTCTGCCAAGGCTCTGCTTTTACTAGGAAGAGCACAAAATCCCACTGCCACGACCTGTGACATCACAGCAAGGCATGGTCCTGCTTCCAACAATGTCACTTGTCAGCTCCAGGTCTGCCACCACATAAAATGATGCCTGTCAAACACATCCCAGGTGTTTTGGTACACACCACCAGTGCTGGACATCCTATCACACCAGGAGGGAGAACTAACATGACCCTTCTGCCTCAGTCAAGCTTGGAACACATCAGTATTTCCCTGGCTCCAACACCATGCTTCAAACACTTAAACTCAGCTTCCCTTATGATGGTTTGGTTTTCTGCTAAACTTTTCTACCAGTGAAAGGATAAAGGTTATCCCACAGTTAAAATGCAAAAGGAAAAAAAAGGGGAAAAGAAAAAAAAAAAAACCCAAAAAAACCCCGTTTGATCCATCAGAAACTCAGCTGATCAGGTGCATCACAGATGTCCATAACTATGGGGAAAGTGCTCAGAATCTCAACCAAGTTTAAAACACAGTTTAAGGCCAGAGATATCCTATTACAAATATGACTGCAGAAATCCCAGAACAGGCTGCCTGCTCTTCTGGGGTGAAAGAGCAGTTGTTTTGGTCCAATATGGCACCTACTCAAGACAACAGTGTGTGCAGTGACTTTCTCACTCTGCTGCAAGCACACCCATTTCCACACTGCACAGTGTCAAAAAACTAACACTACACAGCTAATGCCATCTTCAGCTGAAACAAAATTTTCAAATCCAGGACATTTCAATCCATTGGTGCAGGTTATGATAGCTGTGGTGGAAACTGAACTCACTGAGGCCTTCTTGCACATTGTTCCCCATTCCTGTGTTTCTCCAAAGGATGGAGCTGAGCACAAGGCTGAGAAACACCACTGGACCTTGCTGATGTGTACAATAGCCAAGAGCAGGGCAGTGCACACAGCTCAGAGCACCCTTGGCTCTTCCCTCTGTCCCTTTCTGAGTTATTTATGAGGAAAATGGGCTCCCAGCAGTGAGTGAAGAGAAGCAGGAAGGCTCCAGAAAGCCAGGCTGTCACTCAGCAGCCTGGGCTGAAGGGCCTGGTGCTGTTGGCAGGGATGGATTCCCAGGGTGTGAAGCTGCCTGTGAACAGGAGGGGCTCAGCCCAGAGCTGCAATATCCCATCCTCACCTGCCATATGGCTCAGCACTTCTGATGAACAAGGGGCACTTCTCTCTGGGCACAGCTGCTTATGTGCAACACTGAATAATCAAAGCAAAAAACTCAGCAGAGCAGGATGTACCCTGCATTATAAAGAGGCACAGGCAAAACCCTGCTAGAAATGAGAAGGGAAAGAAGGATTCATACCATCCCTTCAAGGATATAACAGATCCCACAGAAAGCATCCTCTGTATTTAAACAAAGATGTTTTGTTTGTACAAAGAAGTTTAATAAATAAC